GCATCACCCCCAGTGCACCTTACCTAAGGTAAACTGCATTGTTGTTTGATTGTTTTTGAGGTTGAATTTCTATTTATTGGTCATATCTAAGGCTCAAGGCAGATCTCTCTTCATGAGAGAGTTTCTACCTTATCGGGTTACATCCTAACCGTTCTAAAGTCTGAATATTAACATCGTATTTATTTACATATTGTATGTTTAATACCCGAGGGTGTATTTTATCGTGTAATTTTACACCCCATAAATATTAAAGTCTACATCTAAATCCTAAAAAAAAGATTGAAAAAAGATTTTTGATATATTGGCTAAATCCTAATGGATGATCATATACTGGTTATGATATCCAGTTTAAAAAAAAAACATGAAAAAGATGCAATTTTATTTTTATTATTTTTTAATGAAACATATGCTTGGAAAATTTTTAGAATTTGTCTGTATGCATGAAAATAATTTTTAAAAATAGAAATTGATTCAAAATATTTTTTTTATTTTTTTGAAATATTTTGGAGAAAACCGGATATTTTAATACCGAATTTGTATTTTATAGTGTAAATATACAAACCAATATTATGCAAAATTAACAGAAAAATATTTAAGAAAATCACAAAAAAATTTAAGGATTTTTTTAACTTTTTTGGAATTGTTTTGTTTTTTTAATATATATATATATATAAACATGTGGGCTGGGCCGGGCCCAGCTGACTCGGCCGAGCTCAGCCCAGAAGAGGTGGGCCGATGTTGTCCCAGATTTTTTTTGGGCCGGGCTGGACCCAACCATTTGGACTGGGTCGTAACTGGCCCGGCCCAAATGAAGGAAGCTAATTAATTAGCTGCTGCATGTAGAAATGAATTCTGCATGCAGCGGCCACGATGAGGAAGAATAGAGAAAGAGGCAAAACAGGGAGGAGGAAGATGTCTGGCATAGGGTCTCGGTCGTGATGTGGTTGTTCGGCCGGTGGCTCAGGGAGTGTCGACTGAGGTGATGGTGGCCATAGTCGACTGTTGGAAGAGGAAGAAAACATTGCAGAGGAGGGAGAAAAGCCAGAAGAAGAAGAGAGGAAAGAGTCACGGTGCCCGGTAGGCTTCCTATGCTGGAGAGGATGGTTTTCTAGCTAGCAGTGACAATGGTGGTGGCGGCTGAAGGCACTGCTGAGAAGGAGAAAGGAGAAAGGAGAGAGAGAGAGGCGGCAGAAAAAGAAGAAAAACAGGGGAGGTGGCTGGTTTTTCTCCCACTTTGGACCCAATTTTCTCCTCCCTCAGGTCATCAACAGAGCCTCTATTTATAGGTGGTGGAAGAGGGTAATCTTGTCTACACCGGGGTAAAATTTCAGCCATTGATTCAGTTGGCTTGGATCCCAACCGTTGGCTCAAAGTAGGCACCCTGAGTTGTCAATTCTGCAAAAAAAAGCTATCTGAGTTGGCCTCTTTGGGGTAGTGCCACGTCCGTTTATTTACCAGTGGACCAGTGCTGACCATACCTGATGTAGTGGGATTTCTGGTGATCAGTTTTGTGTAAGTTTTGGCAAATTTGGTGGACGTTAAATGCATTAAATGTACCTGCAAAGGGAGTGACCGAACCGATTTTTTGGAAAAATAACAAAGACAATGAACAGTGACTAGATGACGCGTCGTCTGGACCTCTTTTTTTTTTTTGTAAAAATAGCGCCGTTTTGGACTAAAATAGAGATTTTTACTAAATTTCAATTGAATCCTTTTTCTTTCAAATACTTTCAATTGAACCCCTAATTGACTCTAAACTTTGGATTTAATGCAATTAAGCCCCTGCTG